CCACGCAATTAGATCATAAAATAGCGGCATTTGTCATTTTTTAAGACCATCGTTCACTGCCTACAGGACCTCGCTTTAGTTTCTGGCTTGAAGAGCATAGGGGAAATAGGATAGACAGGGAAGGAATTTAGTTGACTAAAGTGGAAAGTGGAAAAATTAATTTTAGTTTTTTTCCCACGGCTGCTGGGAGTAAGTTAGTGCGCATGTAACTTTTAAGTGTGCGCGGCTATTCGCCTCGCTGGCTATAGTAATCTTACTTCAAACAATGCAGTAGAAATCAGATAAGTTGAAGTAGACAACCACCTCCTAACCATCACTTCCAATTTTTCAGGATTTTCCAGAAATCTACATTTTATAATCGTTTTTACGAAAGGCCGTAAACGGTAATACAGATCAGGAAAATATAAATTAGCAACATTCGTAAATACGATAAAATAAATAAATGCATACAGCATTTATAAAATTATATTCAACTGCCTAAACTACTGTTTTCGTAAAATTAATTAGAACAGAGACTGGAACAAACTGACTCCGCTTGGCCAGATATGTACATTTGTTCCCTACGTATTACCAATAGAAACTGTTTTGAGAGGATTTTGCTAATTTGTGCAAGCAGCGGCAAAAACACGGTTGTCTCCCAAGATAGATACCACAGTACCAGAATTATATCTTACAGGAGCCGTGGCAGTCGGTGTTATATGGTTGGGCCATAAGAGAGGAAACAAAACATAATTTTAAGAAAAGAGCCCATAAAAATAGAAAATATAGAATATAACTATGCAAATGGCTGAAAATTTAGAGTGCAATTGGGGAAATGGGATGTACAACCAATAGAAACAAGAACTGGGCTAACAGTGCGCGCTAATTACACACAGTCGTATATCGAATGTATATCTGAAGATATCGATTACCAACTTAACCACGCACGTATACAGATAACGAAATTCGATGAAGTTAAAGTAAGTAAAGTAAACTAAAGGAGAAATTAAACTAAACGGGAACGTAAGCTACTATTTATCCACTGCCCGCGGATGATTACTATCTTTTCACACTCTGATGAACAATATAATCCTGTGTTAGTCATCGGTTTAAGTTAACTGGCTATCATCCGTCTGAAGACGAACTGGGGAACCAGATTCGAAAATTCACGTAATAAATATTACTCTTCCCGAAGGACTTCATTGCTCTTAAAACAGTAAACAGTCTCGGCGTCTGTCGATTGAAAATTCTGTCATACTGGCATTCGATCGTTCTCGTCCTTTTCCTCCTAGTCCTCCTTTTCCTCCCTCTCCTTCTCCCAAAGGTACCTCCTTCAACGTGTTGTCATAGCATTTCCTCGGGCACTGAGTTCCAGCACATATACGAAATGGCAGCATTGTCTTTCATCATGCTAGTGCTCACCGGAAGGAGTTTTTTAAGCGTCACTGACGTTTCGCAATGTTTGCCCGGCTTTCCTTTGTCAAAGCGTAAACTGCCAATATCAGCCAGAATGTAGAAGGTGTGATCATACATGTCGGTCGTGGGCTGATCATTATTCTTCCTCGTTTGTTGCCTTGCCCTCTAAGAAGTTAATGGGTACGCGCACTCTTTTATGAAACAACGCAAACAAGAATGAATCAATGAGGAACGAAGGAACACGAACCCAAAATCTGGAAAGAGGCGTTTTCTACCGTAAGTAGTTTCCAGCGCAGTCTCTCTACTGTTAAATCTCGCCGGACTAGGCAGACTGGCGCTTGAGGTACGGTGTTTAGATGCTAGTCCTATCAACAAGCATCTAATCCTATCCAAGACCTACAAAATCCTACGCCATTACATGAGTAAGGACAAAATAACATCGACATCTAGACAGGCGAGCAAAGACGGGTCCACTTCAAACCCACCAGAAGAGGTAGCAGAATTACTAGCACAGAAAAGAGACGCATCACCAACTGCCGTCAATTTGACCGGCTCTCCTCTGTGAAAGTTTATGCTGCCATTATCGGCCAGAAATAAGAAAAGTGTGTAGGCCAAAATAGTGTTTGATGATCTGGATAGTTACTTCTTAAAATCGGTTGCAGTACATCTTTTTTAAGACCTTAATGAGAACCAACAGTATGTGACTTAAGATGTTCAACGGTCAGCATGAAATTTTGCTTCGTAATGTAGCATATTTCATCATGTTGTGGCCATTAATTTTGGCAAAATCGGGAGTGTCCTGACCTATAAAAGCAAAATCATGTAACAAATAGTAGTATTTTATTTCAAACATGGGAGGGAAATTCTTGGCTTCGCTGACTCTCCTTTGCCAAAGTTCAAATTGACATTATCGGACAGAAATTGGAACATATGGCTGTACTTGTCGGCCGTGGGCTGACTAACGTTTGTTGCCCGTACGTTGCCTTGACTCCTAAACTCTAATGGGTACCCAAACTCTTTTTATCAAAGAGGGCAAGCGTGGAGTGCATAGATTACGGCCAAAAGAACCTAAAACCTAGGTGCCACCTAGGTGTGACCGAAGCAGCTGGAGTTAACATAGCCCATCGTCCTCTGCATCCTATGAAACTAAGGATAGAGTACTCCATATTGTGACCTCCGCGGATGTCAGCAGGATACGTTGGAATGAAAGAGGCTGCAACCACATTGGAGAAACAGGGCGAACATTACAGTCCCGCCTCCATGAACAAAACGTAGTGGTTCGGTGAGTAGACCCCACTTTGCAGTTGAGAAGACATACAGTAGTCGACAAAGACCATGCAATTTTCATAATTTTGTATAAGTTTGATCATTTCTTGAATACCAGTGTGAATGCATTTAGGTAGATTTAGAAATAATAATGAACAGCACCAGGCGTATTAAATACTTGAAAGAACTATAGGAAATACTAAGTGTCTGTAAATTAAGCTAGAATTTTCTCGATAATCCCGGGGTTCTGGAGACATAAAAAGGGCTATAAATTAGAGCAATATATTTAGATACCGTGTTAAATTGAAAACTGGAAGCAACCACCTTCTATATATATATATATATGGAACGAACTTTTATTTAGTCAAGATATTCTGTAAACTTTACTCTTACTGGATTAGTATTTATTGAATGTCATCAAAAAGGTGTGTCATAATTTTTTGCTTTCACTGTCTTCGTTGACAAATTTATAAATTCTGCATCTGTTCGACGTTCACAATAAAACCTCTTAAATAAGATAGATATATAGAGCATTTACCGAAATAAAGTGTTTTTCGATATAATTTTTAATGAATATGTCAATGTTTTTTAATATATAGAAATGCCTAAATAACAGCAAAACACATTGTCGAGGGTAAATCTTGTCCGCAGTGGAGTTGTGAAACCACTATTCCTAAGATTAATAAAAAACTCCCCATAAAAGTTCACCTCTTAGAACTTCTACGAACGTCTGCGTACATTAACTTTTTCCAACGTAATATCACAATGAAATTTGAGAATTTTGACAATTTCTTG